TTAACTTATATCCCGCCCATCTAGAACTCGTCTACTCCGGGCGGTTTACATAAAGCATAAAAAAATAAACTAAAGGTAAAATCCAAATTCATCACAGAGTCCAAGATGAGAAAAGAAAGAGAGGGAAAAAAGAAAAGCAATCGGCTAGGTGATGGCTGCAGGGAAGGCCTGCCTGTATAGCCATGTCTTCAGATTGGTCTTGAAGGCTCTCAGCAAGGGGGGGGGGCAAGTAGATCTCTGCAGGTAAGTTGTTCCAGAGGCGAGGGGCCCGTTGGTGATGGGAGGAGGGAGAAAGGGATGCTGACCTTAATTCAGCATTAAAAAGGGTTGGATTCAAGCTCAGTATATCTGGATTAACCACTAAAACCCTGGGCTTGGATAGACAAATCACACAGGTCCAATTTCGCCCATATTTGTTCCTGTTGGTGAATACACTACGTTCATTGATCATCAATGGAAGATTTGACAAATACAAAATCAAAGATACGATTAACATCCGCCTGCCCAAATAATTCTCCTGGTCACTCATTTTAGGGTGCTGCTCTGAAAAGCGCATTCAGCAACCACTGTTTCTCTTGTCCCCAGCAGCAAGCTGAAGTTGCTCAGATATGCAAAATCTTGCTTAAGAAGCAAGAGCAGGTTGTGCTAACAATGCAGTCGTTAGTTCTCCAGCACAATCATCCCTGAGAGCCTTTTGATGCATGAGCCCTCCCTATAGATTCAGGCATGAAAACCTGATGCTGTGAATGGATGGCCCTATCAGTTTGGCTGAAATCATGCTGCTCAACTGATGCCATGACAGGCAGATGTTGTTATCAGCTACAGCAGTTTTTCGGAAATTAAAAACTTCTGATTAGGATCTTTTCAACATGGGGAAATTTATTTTATCCTTGCGGTGGCAATTTCAGAAATTAAAGGCTCCTCTTCCATCCCACAGCCCCCAACAGCTTCCCCGCAACAAAAGAGAGCTTCATCAGCCTTACACAGTGCAAATTAAGGGAACAGGATTTCAGCCAGTACATCTCATATTTCCATTTTGAGAAGTTGATGGACTGTTATTGTTGTTGTTGATATGTACTGTCAGGTTGCCTCTGACTTGTGGTAACCCTATGAATGAGTGATCTCTAGCCTGTGGCCTCCTTTATTTGGTTTTCATCTTTTCTTGCCACCTTCCACCTTTCCCATCATTATTGTCTTTTCCAGCGAATCTTGCCTTCTCGTGATGCCCCCAAAGTAGAATGGCCTCAGTTCCAACATTTTTGCCTCCAGATGTTGTTCAGGCTTGATTTGATTTAGGAGTCACTTGCTCGTGTTTATGGCAGCACAGGGTATCCTCAAAGCTCTCCTCCAGCAACACATTTCAAACAAATCAATTCTTTTCCTGTCAGCTTTCTTAACTGTCCAACTTTCACACCCATACATGGGTGTGAAGAAATATATGTGTGTGGATGGTCTTAGTCTTGGTCTCCAGTGACACATCCTTGCACTCTATGATCTTTTCTAATTCCTTCATCACTGCCCTTTCCTAGTCTCCTTCTGATATCATGGCTACAGTCTCCATTTGGACTGATGGTTGAACCAAGGTATACAAAATTGCTAACTCTTTCAATTTCTCCATTGTCAACCTGAAAGTTGTGTAGTTCTTCTGTAGCTGTGGTTTTTGTCATCTTATTGTTCATCTGCAGTCCTGCTTCATTGCTTTCCAAGGTTCCTTCTAAGGTGCGTACTTGCATGCGCCTGCACAACTCTGCCTCCTTCCATACAGCTTTCCTCCTCCTCCTCTGTGCAGCAATTGTTTTCAGGGGTTTATTTTGGTTCTGGGACTGAGTTGCACATAAGAGAGGCGCAATCCCACCCAGCCGGGTGAAAAACGAAAGGGTAGGTTGACGTACAGTGGTGCCTCGCATAGCGACGTTAATCCGTTCCGGATTAATCGTCGCTATG